GAGATCAAGAGTTTGATCCTAGGGGAATGTCACGACACCGAGAGACATTTTGGGTGGAGGAAGACTTACGCAAACCTTTTGCGTTCCTACACCTGGCCTCGCATGAAACTAGACTGCATTGCGTATGTGCAGGGCTGTCTAGTCTGGCAAAGAAATAAGAGCACCACACAGCCTCCCCTTGGTTTACTTAAGCCTTTGCCTATTCCAACAGGTCCAGGAGACTCTGTGTCCATTGACTTTACGGACACCAAAGTAAAAAGCAGGAATGGGAAGACGCAGGTCATGGTAATCGTCGACAAATTTAGTAAGTATGCTGTCTTCGTAGCTTTACCAGCGGAAGCAAAAATGGAACTGGTAATCCGAGAGTTCTTTAACCATTGGGTGAAAGACTATGGACATCCCTTGACAATCGTGAGTGACAAAGACACAAGGTTCACAAGTGAACAATCGCAGCAGCTAATGAACGTCTATGGCTCTAAGTTGACTATGTCTTCAGGCAGACATCCTGAAACTAACGGGCAAACTGAGCAAATGAACAAGATTTTGCAGCAAACACTGCGCATGTATATTCGTCCCGACCAGATTGAGAGGGACAAACATTTGCCCAAAGTTGCTAGTGCCTACAATAACTCTGTTCATTTATCTACATGCAAGACTCCGATGGAGTTGCATCTGGGATGGCGTCCAGGCAGGCCTATTGATCGGTTAAACCCGGATCAAGTGCATAAGCTTCCACTAGGAACTAGTGAATTGCTATCCAATATCAGAAAGACATTGAAAAGGTAAAAGAAAATATAATGAAGGCACAGAAATCAAATGACAGAACAGTCAAATAGGCACAGAAGACCTTCTCAGTTTGCTGTAAGTGATCTGATGTGGGTTAAGTCTAAGGAGTTCGCTCCCGAAGAAAACATCTCCCAGAAGTTGCTACCAGCCTACAGAGGACCTTGGCAGGTTCTAGATGTGATTGGCGATGTGGATGGTCCTTCATATGTTATAGAGATTCCTCTACATCTACATACATATCCAGTATTCCACGCTTCGAAACTCTTACCTTGCGTAACAAATGAGTTGTTTCCCAGTCGCAGATCGGCGATACCTCCTAGTATGGATGGGAAATACGATGTGGATAAGATTGTTGCTGAAAGTACCTTTCAGACTGGACGTAGAGGCAGACCACAGCGGCAGTAAGGTGAGATTCCCTTATCATCATCCAAGTGAAGATCGTTGGTTCACATGAGAAGACCTAATGGATTCTGCACCTCATATTGTGTCTGCATTTGAAAGAGCTAAAAGAGGAATAAGCATTATAGATAGATGAAGGTTTTCTTTTTTCTCAGAGGACTTCGAAACTAGGCCGGCGAGAGTAAGAGGGCCTTTACCCGATTCAGACCCTGTTCGACAAATACAACATAAAGGGGTCACTCGCCAGGGCCCAACTCGTGAAAGCAGATCAAAGGACATGTTCTCTGGGTCAAGAGTCACATCCTAGCTAAACAAAAGCCAATGTCAAAGGTCACAGTTGTACCCCTGAACGAATAGTTGCAATATCTAGATTTGGGAGTCACATCTGTTCGTCCAGGGGGTGTGCAGGTCATGTACGTTCAGGCAAGAGATGTGTCCGTACGTGCAGTATATGTGTCTGTTCCTGCAAAATGAGTGTCTGTTCGTGCATAATGTATGTCTGTACGTATAGTAGGTGTGTCCTTTCAAAAGGAAGTCAAAGGGTTGAGTCCCAGTCAGGATTCCAGTCCAAGGGAGAGTCCAGATTCAGGTTGTAAGTCCGAAATTGAGGCCTGAAGGCCGCAGCAGCAGTGGACCCTGAGGAAAAGGAACTGTGGCACACAGCACAGAGGCTGGGACTGGGAAAGGGACCAACAAAAACTGAATTCAAACCTCGCTAGGGGAGGCCAGCACTATAAGAAACGAGGCAGCCTCCCCACAAGGCAGATCTCCATGTGCATGGATGCGTGGAAGTGTTGAGGCACTTGTGCGCTAAGGTGCAGGGAGGAAGCGCTGGCTGAAGAAGAAGCTGCGCTAGAGGAAGGGAAACTGCGCAGGCCGCAGCAAGCCATAGCTGCGCCAGGCAGAGCTAGTGTCAGTAGTAGTATTAGCAAGGTTAGTGTTAGTACATCAGCGAGGGGCATTCTGAGTAGATCCTTGTAGACAGGGAGTGTGCATGTAAGAAGAGACAAGGAGAACCGGGGCAGAGATCTTGAGAGAAGAGAAGAAGGGAGAGTGAAGATAGGTGGAGACATTGGTGATGGTGGAAACTTACCTGTTGGCGCCATTCTTGAGATCTGGAACAAGCGCTGGCTAAGCCAGGCTCTGTATGTATGTTGGAACGAAGGAGAGACTTGTATACTTTGGGCACTGGACTCTTGAACTTGAGAAACGCTTGTATAACGTGATTTTTGATAATATCAGCTACGTTACTCGGTTCTTCTCTCATCTCAACTTTGAGCTTTGTATGAAGCTATCCTATCTATGTTTGGTGACATGTGTGCATGCGAATGAGACACTCCAGCAAGTGTGATCAGTCGATTCCTTGCAACCCTCTCTCTACCTCTCTCTCTGTATCCCACTTGGCACGAACCCGCGACTTAACCCCCCCTCCACCCCG